CGAAGAATAAGTAAAATGAAATGAAAGCATGATATAATATGATTTGTTTAATTTTCTCTACTTACATGACATAATTATATAATTGATATGATTGATTTGATGTTGACATTTTTTTAAATAAAATATTACGTTTTCTTTATTATTATAATGGTCCCACATGCTCGATCCTCGATGGTAAGTGGATATGTAACACCCAAAACTTTTTATTTTATTATTATTAGAATTTTATTTGATTTTATTTTATTTTAATAATTAATTTATAAGGTTTTAATTTAATTTAATTTAATTTAATATAAATAAAAACAATAATAATGATAAAATGGGGTAAAATTATTTTTGAGATTTAATTGAAAATGATTTTGGGAAAAAAGGGGTGAAAATTTGGATTCTAGGGGTGTTTTTGAAAAGAAAATAAAAAACCGAAGGTCAAAACGTAATTTAAAAAAATTACGCCATGTCAGCAGCCCGATCAGCAGCCCCAGCCAACCAGGACACGCCGCGTGGCAGGGACACTGACGCGGGAAGCCACGCGGGACGGAGACACGTGGGCGATCCGCGTGCGCGCGATCGGACGGCCCATATTCGTTCCCGCGCGCACGGACATCCCAGATCAAAAACGCGCATGGACGGCCCAGATCTCACGCGTACGGACGGCCCAGATTGAATCACGCACGGACTACCCAGATCACATCGCAATGGACGACCCAAATTTATTCTCAATTTAATCGCGATCGGATGGTCCAGATTTAATCGTGATGGACGGCTCAGATTAAAAGGGAAATGTTATAAATAACCTCACCCACACCCAAACCCAAACCCAAACCCTAGCCGCTAGAGCCCTCGCCGGAGAAGACGACTCAGCCATCGGAGGAACTGGCTGCCGCCACCCATCGCCGCACCAGAGGATTTTCAGGCCGCCATCAGAGCCAAACCATCGGCCAATTGGCCAAAAAATACTGCCGAAATCCAGCAGTGCCGTCGCGGGTTCCCTCAATTTTTACCTCCGATGAAACCCTTTCCAGTTCCTGCTCGATGTAATTTTTACACTACTGTTACCACTGTCCTTTTCTTTATAGGTTGACCGGAGCAAAACACCAAATCGCAACTCGTGCCGGAGGAGCCGCTGCACCCGAGAGCTCCGCTGTCGGTAAGTCTCAATTTTCTGTAATTTTTTGGCCCACCGAGGCCCCCAGGGGTGTTTTATTATAGGAACCAATGCAAGTTTGGCCAAAAACGGCCAACCCGAGGCGGATCGCCGCCGCGTGCGACAGCGCCATCGCCAGAGCCCAGCGGAGCCGCTGCGCCAAAATTTTAAAATTTGCCGAATAGGCCCTGGGTCTGATTTAAGATTTTTTTGGGACATGTGCAGGTACTGGAAATGTGTTTCAGTTTTCGAAAAAAAATTTAGAAAAACTAGGGACTACCCATAGGCGTAGTGAGAATCCGATTTCAGACTCCGAAACAAGTAAGGATCCCTCACCCTATTTCCTATCACGGCATTAAAGCCTAATAAATGATTGAACGGTATTTTATAAATAAATAGATATGTATAATTAACTAAGATTGCTAATATGGCCTGAACTTGATGTATTTGTCGGTTTGTTCCTGTTTGATATATTTTACAGTCTAAATGGAGTATAATATTTGATTGTTTATTCTGTGATTTCGTATCCATAAATAACTATTTAATCTATTATGGTTTGAATTATTGTAGACCCAATGTTGTGTTGCCTTGTTTGGTGTGCGTTGCTGGTTTACGTATTTATGTTGATTGGGTAATTGAGACTAAGAAAAATAAGGATGGTATGTGAATTTATGAACGGATAAGTCGATAGCCTCACTAGATATTCTGGGAGATGATGGACAGACCGGATCTATAGGGAACGCTACCGAGAACGTGGTCTCTCATATCGGACGGGGTATGGAGACTTTAAATGTTGTGGCGCTCATACCAGACGGGGTATGGGGACGACCTGCTTCACCCTCATACCGGACGGGGTATTGAGCTTTATAGTTTTGGCGCTCATACCGGACGGGGTATGAGGACGGCCCTAGAATTAAGGTGAATGGTTCACGTATAGTGGGGACCCCTATGGATCCCCATGGATATTAGTAGGCTGATAAAAGAGGAAATTTATTGTTTGATGATTGAAATACAAAAGT